TCCTCTGAGACTGTCATGGGACAGTTCTATCGTATTCAAATTGTGCCTCTTCCTACGTTGATGGAACAAAAACTTCTGTAGAAATACGTGTAATGACAGCCCTCCCACTTTTGGGTTTCAGAGATTATACTGGTTCAAATTCACTTTTAATCCTTCACCCAACATTTTAGACTGAAAATATGTGCATTAAAGTCCATGTACTAACTTACTATCCTGGCAATTAATGGAACACCGTCCTCCCTTTCATAGTATCACATGTCTACTACATTATAGATGAGGTGAATTAGTTATGACATAAAATTGTTCCATATTTATGTTTGAGATTTTGTACTGTCTGCACTAGCCACTAACAACAGCATTGCAGGAAACCGTGTTGAAGGAAGAACTTCGGAACATGGAAAGAATGCAAAAGAGGGATGGAGTGGATCTGACATATCTTAAAAATATCATTTTGAAGCTTCTAGAGACAGGTACTTATCTTTGTATTTAGCGTGATCTATCTTTGTATTGAATGTGATCTTCCTTATCTGTACCTTTCATAAACGCTTGATTTAAGCAATAATTTACCTTATTTTCCTCTGCTTACAAAGTGACATCTAAATCAGGGTAGTGAAGGACTAATGATATGCACAAATAGAAGGAAATAGTAACAATCATGACTGACTTTGTTCTGTAACTTGTAGATTTATCATCAATTGTAGTCGCAAGTTGCAGAACTTTACAAATGTAAAATATTAGTCACTTCAGTTGCGAGTTCTTGCTCTAGAGTTCCCTTAGAAAGAAATTATGTAAAAGCGTTTTGTTTTAGTTAAACTAGTTTCAAGTGTTACTTAAATTTATTGCATTCTTAAACGCAACCCTAGTGCAAAAACAGTCAAACTTAACAAGAATTACAGTGCTGAAGTTGACTGGTTTTGTTTGGGTTTTCATATGCTCTTCACCTTTTTCCTATTTAAATTTCAGGTGACGTACTTTCTAATTTCATTTTCTTCAGTGGGATTTTATATCAGAATGAAAACTTGAATGTCCAAGATAGTTGTGGAAATTCCATCAAAATCCCACTGAATAAAAATATTTCATAGTAATCTGTGACAAATAATAAAAATGTGGAAATTTCCACTAATATATATTGGTGATCAGCTTGTTGCACAGCTCCATTCTCGGTTCACCAACTGCTCCCTGCTGTCCCCTCCATCCCCAGTCATGGTTGCTGACTAAACATGGTGACCAAGCACCATGTTTGACAAAAACATATATTCTTATTATTCACAAACACCACACAACCAATACCTTTAGTTCAGTTAGGGGTGAGCATGGGTCGGTACGGTTCGGAGATTGATAAATCTCCAGAACCGAACCGAAGTTCAGAGATCACTAAAATTCGATCTCCAGAACCGTACCAAAAAATCGGTTCGGTCCGGTTCGGAGATTATTATTTTTCGATTCGGTTCGGTTCGGTTTCGGGACTATCGGAACGGTTCGGCTCGGTTTGGTTCGGTTAGGTTATTCGGAGATTTCTTATCATTTTTTAAATTTTTTTTGAATGACCACCTAGTTATATTTTATTTTTTATATGTTTTTTTTTTAAATCCAACATTCATCAATACTTCATCATACTAAAGAATTTATTTTTAAATCAACTTTAGAAGTAACCCTAAATTTTAGTTAAGACTAAATTCAACTAACATTGAAAATTTAAATTCAAACAAAATATAATATAGTTTTATATTAAAGTAATATTTATTTAACCTTTCATACCATGTTAGTTATAAGATAAACTAAGGGTAAGTATCGATAACTTTAAGTAAAGCTTAAATTTTTTTTTTAAATCTTTAACCTTTCATTCCATTTTTTTTTTTAAACATGAGAAATTCAATTGTAGATCAAGTATTACTAAACATAAAATGTAAGTGAATCTTAGTTGTTATTACTATATTTTATTTGCATTTTAAAAATTCTCAAATTATATAGGATCAAAGTTGACATAAAATATATTAATAACACGCATCTATTTTTATAATTCGGTTCTTAATTTCGGGTCATCGGTTCGGTTCGGTACGGTACGGGACGGTTCGGTTCGGTTCTCGGTACGGATATTTATGAAATCTCCAGAACCGTACCAATTATTTTTTCGGTTCGGTTCGGAGAAAGTCAAACGGTCAACAGATATTTTTCGGTTCGGAGTGATTTTGGTTCGGTTTTCGGTACGGTTAGGAATTCTCCGAGTCCCATTCTCAGCCCTAAGTACAGTCTTGCAGCCCCTTCTTTCTCCGAGCTGATCTTCTCTTGGTGTATCTTGTTTTGGTTGATTGGTTATGCAGCAGATATGTCTGTGTTTTGTATGATCTGCAGAAATGAATGGTAACTCTTTCCTAAATTTTGGGATAACTTGCTAGTTTCCACTACTAGGTCTATGTGGCGTACTTGTGCTGTTGTGTTGAGAGACAGTACATGGTGGATGTGAGGGCACAAGTAGTGATGGTGGTTGGTTATATACATGTAGATGTATGTAGATTTATTATTCAATATACTTTCCATGATTCATGCCTTATTTCATGCAATCTCTATCATTGCCGACTGCTAGAAAATAGCCTTGTCCTCAAGGAAGTGAGGAAATGGAATTTGGATCAACCCATATCATTTGCAACTTCCTCTTCTTCCTTTTCAACCATTAATGACCGAAGAGTTTAGTTACGGCAGACTTTGAAAAAGTATGGTTTATAGTATTGCTGATGAATATAATAATTAAGGCATTTCCCGAATAAATTATCATTATCATATAAAAAGTGACGTGTAACCTTCTGTCTGAAAGTGGTTTGCATGACGGCATGTGTGGGAGGTATTATCGATACATCCTTTGAAGGAGAGGAGTTATGTGTTCTTGGTTGATAGGGTCACCACATTCAAGAGGTGGGACTTGAACCAAAGGGATGAGATCCTTCGAAATTATGACCGAGGACAAAGATTTCTCACTAGTTACACTAGGTGGTCGCACTAGTGTGTTAGTTCTGGAGCAGCTTTCAAAGTACCTAAAAGTTCCAAGTTTGAAAGCTACTCCAGTACAATTGAGGAGCTGATAAGGTGACCCTTATCAGCTCCTCAATTAGGTACTACTACTGACTCTCTGTTGTTACTGATATTAGAAACATTTTTTTTTTTTTTTTACTTCAGTACACTTTTGTATATTATGCTGGCTGATTTCTTTCTGTGCTACAAGACTTGAGAGTTCTAATAGCATGTGTTAGAAATGGTGGGCTTGATCAGTCATTTATGTATAGTTAAACTAAAAATGTTACAGTTGATGTGATGTTGCTTTTCCTCGTAGTTCAGCCTCATGGGATGTTGGTTTGTGTAGAACTAGTGGGATCCTCTTGCAACTTGTGCAAACCGTCCAGTTGCTGTCAGTGTAACAACTAAATCATAAAAGATTACGAAAATAAAATTTAACCGGTAATGTTAATGTGACTTATTAAGCTCTACTCGTCTTTATCAAAAGTTCAAAACAAATCTATGCAACTAATGGCTCAACAACACACACACACACACACATATATATATATACATGTATATACAATGCACACACACACACACACACATATATATATATATATACAATACACACACACACACATATATATGTGTGTGTGTATGCATATGTATGCGCATGCTCGCGTGTGATTGCAAGCCTGTGTACGTATATCACATAGAATTCCACAATCCAGATTGAAATGGATAGCAAGATAATGGAAGAAACGAAAATGAATAATTGATTTTGAGTAAAACTGAGAACAGTGAAGTGGTAGGTTTCGTTATTTGATGCTCACTATCTTCATTGCTATCGATTTCCACTTTTTGTACCTTTTTAAGGTACATGCAGTGTTTTATTAATAGATGCTGCTTGTTTTCATTTATTTATTTGAACACCGCAAATTATTAGGTGAAGTGGAGAGACTGCTTCCAGTTGTAGCAATGCTTCTTCAGTTCAGCCCAGACGAGGTAACATGTTTTCTACATTTCCTGATTGAGCTGTTGTACTTAGGTGGAAAAGATCTTAGGTTGTATTTTACTAGTTTAATTGTCACTTAACATCAGATAAGCATCCATAGTGTACTGCCTTGTGTTTATTGACTGTGGAGGTGTCTTGAATTGTTGACCTCATTGTATACAACTTGTATCTCATGCTGTAAAATGCAGGTGTAATCTTCTTTCATGCTTGTGTCTCTCTTCATATGTTCATCTATTATGAATTTGCAGTTAACTGGCAAAATTAAACTTCCAATGATTAATTTTTCTTATTCTCCAAAGCCACCACCTGCATTTGTCACTAATGTTAGCGTCGACTATCACGTGGTAATCATGGATGAGTAATTTCTAACATCTATGCTGTGCATATGCAGATGCAGAAGTGTCAACAAGCTTACCGCTCTTCAAACGAGGTCCCACCTAACTCGGCCAGCGACTCTATGGGTTCTGGGCGCTCTCTGTTTTCCAGATTTTCTTTTTCATAGAATGATTCTGAGCACCTGTCTATATTAAATCATGCAATGGCCTGGCCTACGCATTCGGGGTAAATTTTATGTTTTTAATATTAAAGATAATGGTCGACTTCCAGTATTTTAAATACCTTAAGAGATGCATAGGATGATGGAAATTATACATCTGATACAGAAGAAGAGACCATGTCTGAACAACATGAAGGCAGTTGGCCAAAAGATTGGACACAAAACATTTAACTGTTTGTCTGTTGGTTAGTTTGGCTTGTTTTTACGTGTGCATTCTCACACCTAATGGACTGTACAGTTATTGTTTAACAATTGAGTTAATAAGAGCTGGTCATTGTTCTGGCAATCTCTTGCTTCACTTGAGATCTATCCTATCTTCTACATTTAAATGTTAATTCTTTTCGGAATAGGTACTTTCTTATATTCTGTGTTGTCTTTTCGTGGACTAAAGCAGCTATTTAGAATCCCTCCAAGCCAATAAAGTACTTAATCTCTAAATTTCTAAAAGTTATGAGAACGAAACTGATTCAACTCTTTAGTGATGTAAGAACACAAAACTGAATTGCTGAATATATAAACTATGAAAGTATAAAGCAACTCTCACAAACTCTTAGAGGCTATCTTGAACGATGTACTCAATACTAATTGCAATTGCACCAGCTTCTCTTTGAGTCTTCATGATGGGATAATTGCAATTGCACCAGCTTCTCTTTGAGTCTTCATGATGGGATATTTACAATCTTCAAGTAGGTAAGACGTCTTGATATTTCATTTTCTTCAACGTCCTTCCATTAAATGGAAGTTAATTTCCTTCCAGATTAGATCCCCTCTTATTTGTTTGGAGATCAAAATCTTTGTTCGATAATTCGATAATTGTGTAGGGACAATGTTTCCCAGTTTATTGACTTCTGAATCTTGGTCAAGATCTTCATCAATCTTCACGGCTTGATTCCGATAGTCTTCTACTTATGATGTGCGAGATCTTCATGTAATTGATCAACTCATCCTTCTTTAAATAAACCATGCTCATTTATCTACAAGAATAAGGAAACTCATTATAGAAAATCATTATAGAAACTCATTAATGCATGTGGTTGAGGTATGGTAAGAGAATATAAGTAAGAGATTACTAATTCTTACTATAATAAATAAATCTAATATATAGTAATTAGTAATAATGCACGGGAACTAATAAATTTCAAGAAAGAGAATAGAAAATTTTTCCTTTAATTTGTTTTGCTTGCCTAGAAAAAAAAATAAAATCATAACAATGTTAAGTTTGTCGAACACTTGCTAAACTAATATTTTACAATTTTTCCCTTTGACATTCAGTTCGCAACTTGCCAATGGGACAGCCCCACGTGGAGCTGTCTCATTGACTACGGAGCCAACAGTTGGCTCCTTAGCATTACTGTCGCAACTAGTATCTTGAAGATGACCTGCAAAACAAATTCAAAGTAGCAAAGCAAAATATCCATGTTTGAACACGAGAACAAACTATCCTTAAACTTGCAATGTTTGAACATCACAACAAGTTCCTAAAATATAAGAAGGATCAAAGATAAATACAAAATACTATGACTAACACAATACAACCTAAGTATCAGATCACCCTAAATCAAAATAGCAGGAATGAATAATCAAAACAAATCAACGACATAGTTCCAACATCCTGCATCATACCATCAGAAAGCATAGCAGAAATTGTTCAAACAGTTCAAACATCATCCAATGCAAGCAGAAAAAGAAATCAAACAAACCAGCCTAATGTGAATCCCGCTCTTGCTTCCCGCTGCTACAGGATTTCCCCATAATGGCCGTGAACAGTTGCTCCTGGATCAACTTTGTCGACCCTCAATTACATTGAACCTTTCCTTCTTTTAATTGACATAGACCCCATTTTCTAAATGAATGAGAATGCTACTGCCATAATTAAGATTGGTCCGTTTACAATTACATCGAACCTTTTTCATTGGCGATCGGTGAACGGCCAATGTGGGTAACAGAATTCAAATCACTTGAATAATATTTCATTCCACTAAATGAATATTATTTATGATTTATTTGCGAAAATTACCTCACCATGTTTAAGATCTAACGTCTGTTGATTAATTTAATTACTGACAATATAATTAATCAATTTCTTGATAAGAAATTAGTATTACTCACTCCTTTTTTATTATGCAATTATTCAATCTGCCTACAGGGGTTGACACAATAATTTCTTTTCAGCTCATTTCGAGGACGCCATCAACCTGATGCACCGGGACACGATGACCGTAAATAATTTCAACGGCACAACATGTAATCGGAATTATTTACCAACAAATTGAGATTATCAATTTACTATAAATCTCTCTCTTTGGTAAATTAAATAAATAATAACCGAATACATATGCGCGTTTATTATCTTACAGTTAAGAGAACGCAACAATAACCGAGGTCTGGATTATTTACTTGGTCAGTTTAAAATAATGTTATCCTTTAAAGTCCGTTCAATACATTACAAATGTACTAGTGTAATTCATTAGTCGAAGTTCAACTAATTCCAACATTCCACTACAACCGTTCACGATCATTTTTGCCTAGGTTGTGAACCATTAATTTATATTTTACAAGGCACAAAAAATATAACCTTTCTGTTCGACACATTGAACCATATTATCTACAATGTAAAATAAAAAAATCATGTTCGCATAACTAAATGAACTGCAAACATACATTTGACTCATTTATATTATTCGTAGGTGTAAAATATGATGAAAAAATATTTTAAATATGAATCTAAAAATAAAACATTTAGTTTATTTATCTAAATTTATAAATATCTGGAGATGTATGTGTTCTATATATTCTAAAATAAATTAGAGATCATAATTGACTTTTTTTATGTATGTTCTCGATGTCAAATCTCACATTTTTGTATTTCACATTTTTGCTTTCACAAAACTTAACTACTAAAATATAAAAATACACTATTATTTTTTAAAAATATTAACTTCCAGATTTTCAATTTATGTACTCAAAATTTAGTTTGGGTAAATTTGAATCTTTTTTTTTTTTGAGAAAATTACGCCTACAACGAGATCATCACAAAATATTTGCAAATATACTGCTATAATATTTTATTAGCAAAATTAGAAAACATATCCTAAATATTTGTAAATCTACGGAAGTTACTAGTTAACATCGATTTCTCTCTCCTCTCACTTTTATTTTTTTTACGGAAGTTACTAATTAACATCTATGTCTCTCACCTCTCACTTTCATTTTTTTCTTCTTCCCCCAATTTCTTCCCCCTTTCTTTTTCTTCAGATCTCGGCGACGTCACTGTTCAATAGCAATTCATCTTTCACCATGAGAGCGAAAGTGAATCATCTCTAGCCCATGTGTCATCTATATCATACAAATTAATTTTGATTCCATTGATTTTTGCTGCAATTTGTATACCCTGCATATATATATATATATATATATATATATATATATATATATATATATATATAGTGGAAGAAGAAGAGCATGAGGAGATTGAAGAGGAAGTGCCTAAAGATGAGACAAAGATCCAAGTAGTTTGCTTTCATGTTTTTTTGTTGTTTTTCATAATCTTGTATTAGAATTTTTATGGATTTTGTTTTTGATTTGATGGTATTTCGTGTTCTCGCGGCGACAGGCGGGTTCAGCCGCATTCCATATCGCCTCTCAGATTGGAAAAATTGAGCCGAAATTCCACCGGATAACCGCAGCAACAAACCGATTCTGATTTCGGCTACTCGATTTGTTGCTGCGGTTATCAAAGACAAAGCCTGAAAATTACTAACCGCCATTCTCCCCAGTCCTCAGTTTTTTTGAGAACTTTTTCATTTGATTTATTATGTTTGGGATATGTTGCGTATATATACAGTATATTTTTCAGTATATATTTCCGTAAACACAATCGACAGTATATGTTTCGTGTATAGGAAGTATATGTTCAGTATATGTTTTCGTTGCCCGTATATTTCTCATCTGGCCCGTGCTTCTATCTCTTCTTCACACGCCAGAGAAAACGAACAAGGTGGCTCTGAGAGGGCCTGCGATCAAAACAACAAAAAGAAAAAGAGAATAATAAACTGAAGAGAAGAGAACGTAAGAGAACGTGGTGGTCTGTGGTGGTGGCTTAGTCATTGTGGCTGATAGCCGGAGGCCGCGGGGTTCGTGCCGTGGTGGCTATGACGGTCGCTGGATTGGCGAAGTGGGCCGGAATAGAGATCGCAACTAAAAACAGAAAAAGAAAAAAAGAAAGAAAAAAGAAGTGTTCGTGCACAGGCTAGAAGCCGGAGATGCGATGGACCCCTGCAGTTGTTTTTTAAAGAGACGACAATGGACTCTGGCGGCTGCACTTGTGGATGGCGGGATATAGAGAATTGGGTGTGTAGAAGGAAGGAATTAATTTCTGAAATTTGAATTTTTACAGTCTAATGTGCTTTTTGTATATCTTCTTTATATATTGTGTATATATTTTGTGTATGTAATGACAAGATTGATTTATCTGTTGTGTATTTTCTATTATGTCGGTTATATACAATGAGTATATATTCTCGAAAAATATACTGTTTTTTAGTATATGTTAAGGTCGACAATATATTTTTAGTATATGTACATGAGTGTGATTTCAACTTGTTTTATATACTGTAAATATACAAAATAAATTAAGACAAATTGCAAAAATTAAAAAAAAAAAAGAAACGAAAAAAAACGTTGAAAGAAATATACATGGTTGACTTGGTTCCTAATTTGTATGTTATATACACTTACCTTTTTTTCTTTCAGTACAATTCTAAAGATCCGTGATTGTAGGAAGGTGAGTACGTGGTCTATTTGTAATCCCCCAACTTAAGGAGACTTGATCTATTTTTTTGGGGTAACTGATATCTTGAATAATCACAAATAAATTCCATGCGTAAGTTTGCAATTAAAATGCAACCCTTGGTATTGTTGCAATTATTCTTAAATCGCTATGTATATATAAAATTCTCCCTTTTTTTTTTCTTTCATTATAGTGTTCGATACAATATTCAATATTATTGTATAATTATGCATATTTTATTTTTATAATTTATTTTACATAGTGATTTTTGTCATACTTGCAAATAATTATTTATTTACTTATTATTTATTTCTATATATTTATATACACCCATATATATACTTATACATCTAATTTCGATACTTATGATTTAATGGTCTACATGTAATTTTTTTTATTCATATTACTTATTAATATTCAATTTGGCTAATGGAGATATTATGTAGCCAATATAGGTCCCAATTGAAGTCTGAAGATATATATATAACAAAAAAAGTNGAGAGAGAGAATGCCTCTATAAGTCGACGTGCGATCTTGAAGAATTAACCAAACA